TATTACTGTATTATTGTTATTCATCCATTAACATCAAATGAGCATGATAAGAACTAAAGATTGGGATCGATGTCGGTATGTAAGAAAAAAAAAAGATTGCGCATAAATAAAATTGTATTTATGTAATAAATGGCGATAATGAAATTCTTAAAGGGATGTGTTTGTTTCTTAAGAAATTAATAGATGGTTAATAAATATAATTATTTTGTTACAACTTATATAAAACTTAGAAAAAAAATGGTTAGACCATTGGTCTATTTAGAAAACGTAAAAGACATAGTATAAGAAATTTTCTTTAAAAAAAAAAAAAAAAACTATTAAGATTAATTGAAATCCTCCTCTTTTAAATTTTTTATAACAATCGCGTCATCATTCATAGTATCGAGGAAAAAATCATCATCACGTAAGAGAGTATGCGAAATATTCGATGGAATATTTTGAGAAAAATTGTGATCCAATTGTATTGGATCTTGAGGTCGCGATATGACCTCATCAACATTAAAATGTTGACGACCGGAAATTACGGACGATTCTGGGATCACATTGTTAAAATTCGGCGGAAATTGAGAAAATTGAGGAGAAACCGACTGTATAGGATCATCGATTATATGGGACGAATCATGATGATGATGCATTGGATGAAAATATTCCATGGAATATGGCAACGGAACGGATCGCATAATCGAGTTTCCATCGTTGTTGTTGTAATCGGAAGGTTGCAATCTGAGAGAACAATTTTGATCCACCAGAACGTCATTTGTTAAAGAGTAAGTGGGAGAGCCCGAAGGTGAGACATGATAAAGCTGAAAAGAATCGGGATAGGAAACCAAAGGAATTTGATCAATAGAAGAATCGGATCGAGATTGCAACATTTGTTGAGATATCAAATGTTGATCGTTGAATGATAAGTAAGTTAATTGCTGCGGTTGTATAAAAGTTGCCGGATAAGAATCAGAAATTTGGGAAAGGTCGTTCATAGTAAACGGCGGAGTAGGGTTAAAATGGGGTAATTGTTGTTGCGTGGACAAATTGGAATGAGGAAGAGTTTCAGGGTGTTTTGAAGGGTAAGTAGAAGCCCATAGTGGTAAGGTGGGAGTACAAGGCGACGAAGGAGTACTCGAAGAAGGACTCGAAGAGGAATCAACATCGATTTTTTCATTAGAAACCATATCGAAGTTTTTATCAATATCTTGAGATTGCGATTGTTTTCTATGCGGTTTATAGACGTAACCAGGGTTAATTTCGGCATGTTCAGTTTTTGCAATATTGGAAAGCCTCGTAAAGACCTCTTTAACCTCGACGCTAGATTTTCTCCAAATTTCACTAGCGATTCCTGAAACGATAGGAACCTGAAGTTTAAAGGTGTCCACAGCACCTTGGAACATGGTTCGAAAGATAAAAAATTTATTTGGAGGTCTAGCGGGTTTATCGGAAGATTTTGCTTTTTTATAAAAAAAGCGATCACGAATTTCTTTCGAAGTAGGTACGGGAAAATCTATCTGGACGCCATCGTTCAATTTGACAATTACTTTTAAACGGTCACCTCTAGCGTCCAAGTGTGCCTGAACAACATTACCATTGCTAAGTACACGTCCATTATCGGAATTCTTTAGCTGTTGATCATGATTGTCCTTTTGGTGATCTGTTGTTTGAGGCATGGCTAAGATAATTTCGATTTTTTTTTTTAAAAAAAAGACAAGGGTAAAAAATCAGCAACGAAGAAACGAATAATAAACGTTTTAAATCCCCAAGTATGTGCTGAATGCAACTACCAGAGTTGATTCTGAAAGGATATATAATTTTCTTGTTCAATCGTTTTGGACATATATATATATATATATATGTTTAAATCCTATTGTATCTGATCGAACTAAGATGAAGAACTAACATGACAGGAGTACAGAAATCCTGCGTGCTTTTTTTTTTTTGACGTGAATTACTTCAGGGTAGCTGAAGTTGAAAGAATATGAAATGGGCATACGACAAAAACAAATCTTTGAAACCCACAAAAACATGGTAAACAATTTTATATATATATATATATATATATATATATATATATATATATATATATATATATATATATTATATATATTATATATATATATTATATTATATATAAGAAAAAAGAAAGAAAACAAGGAAGTTGCTATTGTTTTGATTGCCTTGAACAAATCTTCGCGATTTAGTGTAATGTTTCCATATTTATATTGTTATTGAACCTAACCAAACGCATTTATTTGGTTGGGTTTTCCTAACAAATCAATCATAAGGGGGGAAGGGGAGGAGGGACACTACATATGAATATTGAATCTTACCTTACATATTTAACGAGAAAAATAGAAAATTTTTGAAAGAAAACCGAGAGGTTAACGAAGAGATAGGAGTAAGCCATGTATTAAGGTGGATATTTATCAGTTTCTAACATGTGCATGTTTCACATTTACGTCTTCGAACCAAGAAAGAAAATAAATGCTTTTTTACCGGATCATTTGAAAGGATCAGGTTTTTTTTTTACGACAGATTAAATGAAAAAGAAAATATAATATTTCCTGATTGCAGAACAGGGAAGTTCATTGTTTACTTGATCAGAGGACTATGCTATCCTCCTTTGTTTGGATATTGAAGACACTAAAATGGGAAAAACTAATTTATTACGAACATTGATTGATGCGTATATTATGATTTGTTTTTTCTATGAAACCAATTGACTCAATTGCATAATTGTTGACTAATTTTAATCATTTACGTATTGACACATAATTTGAATAGAATCGAATTCGAAATAGTGTGAAAATTTAAATGTCACTACGTGAAAAAGTAACTGAATTCTCTAATTGACACTATTTAGGTAATAATGTATATTTGTATATCAGATATGTACAGTACGTATATAGGTAGATATGTAGGTAGATATGTAGGTATGTATGTAACATGCTTATAGGTATGTATGTAACATGCTTATAGGTATGTATGTAACATGCTTATAGGTATTGAAACAAGTAACTTTTTTGTAACTCCAAGCCATTTATGGAAATTGGATATTAAAAAAAGTTTCGAGCTTTACTCCATTGTTGCATCGTCTTTGGAACACAAAGACGTAATATGTTTGTTTCGCTATTAAAAAGTAATAATAGTAAAATAAATTTGCAAGAATAACCTATTTTTCTCGATCATACAGAATATCGGATCACAGAGTTTTAAACAAGTTTTAAAAAATTTAAATCAAAAATTCTATATATTTTAATATATTTAATGACAATAAAGTTTTATTAATTTAAATTAAGCACTATTTAACGTATATTGATCCGTATAACGTATATCTGTACATTATCTGTATATTATCTGTATATTATCTGTATATTATCTGTATATTATCTGTATATTATCTGTATATTGATACATACATACCTGATACGTACGTACGTACATACGTACTTTACGTTGATAAATTAATTAATATTCATATATAAATATATATAAAATATTAATTATATTTGTACATATATATTTAATTTTATTAACAAGTAGTATTGGCACTTAAAATATATTAAATATACTTATATTTATCTTATATTTATCTTATATATCTTAATTACTAATTATTATCTGGTTGGATTAAACATAATCTATCGTCATATCGATATCGTTAGATCAATCATGTTGATTAAACATCTATCATTCCATATAAACCGTGTAACTTTCGTTGTTGGGTTAGTGTTTCGAAAAACTTAAATATTCGTATCACATGAAGATTATCCAAAATGATTGCAAAATGATTGGAGATCAGATAAAAAATTTGCGATTGCGCTATATGCGGTTGAGAAACTGGTATCGTACATATGTACATATGTACATATCGGTATTTATAGTATTATTTATTTATCGCTATCTATCTTTTATTTTTTATTTATTTTATTGGCTTTCTATAAATTTGTTGCACTCGCGTACGTGTACGTGTACATACATACGTACGTACCATATGTTTAGGGGATCATCCTACTTTCTGATTCTTTTGATTCTTTCTGATTATCACCGGTCGAATTTTTTAAAAAATTATTAGTTCTTGTGTGTAGCCGTGGGAAGTTTCGATATCTGAAAAATGGATCAACTCATTAATAAATCACACATGTCATAGATAAATCACACACGTGATCTACTTTCTCCTATCACATTATTATCACATTATTATCACATTATTCATTCACACTATTCATTGTTAGCCTCTTGATATTTTCCTGGCAAACGATATGTAACAGTGAGGTAAGCTTTTTTTATGATCTTAAACCTTTATCGTTATATAAAAAAAACCTTAATATCAAAACAAAGAGCCTGATTGTCATGATACTGTATTTGAAAATTACGCATACATTGCTGTCTATAAAAGGCTTTCCTTAAAAAAAATTTTTTTTAAATTCTCACACAACCTTAATTACGTACCAGAAAGTCTTTTTCGTAGAATTAATTAGTATTTTAATTCAATGCTTTACCAAACTTTGTCATGAATGCGGAAATATTTTTTTTTAAAAAATATATATATTATATATATATATATATACATGATATGGGAATCTGATCCATATGTACATACGTAAGGTCATAATGTAGAAAAATGTAGAAAGAACAATTCTTTTAACTTACTCTGGTTAATATCAAATGTGTCTTTATCACGACAAAGTTATACAAAATTATTAATAAAATTACTATGCAAATTATGGGTAATTTATCTTTCACGTTTGTAATAGAGTTTTCTATGTCCGTACTAGTGTTTGCCAACAAAATTTTATTAATTCACATATTCGAAATAACGCTCAGAGAATCGCTCAGAGTGAAATTACGAAATTTGGCCTAAATTAAACTTAATTCGGGCCAAATTTCGTAATTTCATCCCTCGGCGTTATTTCGAATTTAAGTTAATAATAATATTAGGGTTAGAGTTAGACATAGGCTAGGAGGTTAGTAGATATATAGTAAAGGATAAATCTGTATGCCGCATA